AACAGGCAGAACTCGAACTGTTGGTAGCCCCTCACCCACCACCAGCCAGCCAAAGACCCCAACACCCTGAAACACACACAACTCAGTTAGAACAGAAGCTGAGGGTTACAAAACACACTAACAAAACGCAGATGACTAAAGTCGAGAAAAATCTATATGACTTATGTGGGATATTGTAAATAGACAAAGACACGTGTTACATAGCTTTGGGTGGTACAGTTTTGAGTGTGTCATGTTGTACAGACAGAACTGGACTGAACAAAACTGAGTGTAAGAAAAAACAGGTCACTGACATAAATCTGAGATCCACGAATACAGAGACGATCCCCACAAGACAAGGCTGTTTTTTTCTGCATATCTACAATATCACACTACACCTGCCATTTAGTCTCAAAGATTTCTTCCAGTTTTGTTCATCACTTCTGTCAGTAAATATAACACTCTATTCCTGCTTAGTCCTCCTGTCTGTCTCACCTTGCTCTGAGAGTTTGTGCTGTGGGTGACCAGGCAGCGCTGCACGATGGTCCCAGCACTGTCCAGCAGGGGGCAGAGTTCAGCCTTCGGGAAGAGCCACCTCAACACCTTCTCCCTGGTCCCAGAGCTGAACCTCCTACACGGAAAATACAACACTCATCAAATCACCAGTCACAATCATTATACAAGCACCGATCCGATCCGTACCGGCTCAGATATTAGGCCAAATGTCACAGATCCACATTAAATACAGTTTTCCGCTGTGCTTTGTTCATTTACAGTGGTGAGGACCCTCTCACTCTGCCTGCCTGTTTGTTTGTTTTGCAGGGAGGGTCGCTTGCCAGATTACTTTTTCACAGGTCCAAAATGTTCAGTCCAGTTTTCACATCCTGCACCAACACTAAAATGTTCTTCAATCAACTGTACTATAGACAGACAGAAGATAATCATTTTCTAACAAATGTAATATCTAGAGGTGCTCTGATCAGGATTTTTTGGACTGATTGATCAGAGCACCCTGAGTAATATCGGTGTCTCTCAAGGTGATTTTGAGGCAACACGAGATCCGAGCTGATACTGAGCACACTGAAGAGCTATACTTTAAACAGAATTGCGTACCAGAGCAGAGTGAAGTTGGCGGGTCCTTCGGGGAGGCCGAGGTTGTGGTTCTGCAGGCCGTCGTCCTCCTCCAGCAGAATGGACATGGAACCTGAATGGGCCAAGTAGAGCTCCTCAAGCTGCTGCCGCTGGACACTGAGGGACTCCCCACCCTGCAGAGACCAGTATGAACAAACTATGAACAAACTAGTAATGGCCGGACTGGGGATAGTTATCACACATTAGTCACACATAACAGTTTAAAATCGGGCAGAGATGACTTCAGTAGTGAATTCCGTGGTGATTTGCTACAGCTCTGAGTCACTCCTCCCATCGTCTTCTTCTCCATAGCAACAGCAGCTGAGACTCATGGGTACTGTAATAGAGCAATCCACCAAACTGACAGAAACAAACTGATGGTCAGAACATAAAACTTATAGGATCTTTACACAAGCTGCTTCACCAGTGAATCTATTATATATAAAATAAATTCTCAAGGGTTGATTAAAAAGCTCTTTTTTAAAAGCTGTCATTTACAGTTTGCCAAAATCCTGGCCGTGTTGACCTCTGACCTTCAGCAGGACAAGTTGTGGCCCCCGTCGGAGAGTCACGGTCCCTCTGAGGCTCTCTGGGACTTCTAGCACCGATGAGATTGTTGCACAGCCCGAACAGTTGACCAGACTCTGCCTGAGAGAGCCAACACTCCACCATTCATGAAAACCTGCAGCATGCGCACACATAACCACACAAGTCAAAACACAGATGCTGGAAAACAGTGAGTTGTCCTTATATTGAGGGGAAATGCTCAACAGCTTCATATTATCTGATCCTTAGTCCATAACCCAAAGAAAAATCACATAAGACAAATAAAAGCAGCAAAACCACATATGTGAAAAGGTTTACAACAGCATTTATGTAGCATGTTGAGAGAGCGAGAGCGAGCATTCAGTCATCACTAGACAATTGCTCGATTTCGTTCTTACAACTAGCATAAATTGCCATCTTTGCTTGTTCAAGTAGGAAATTTATCAGTTGACATTTGAAACGCAGCTTCACATATTTATAACCCAAAATAAAAGTCTCCGTTGAAAAGATTTCATTAAAACAGCCAAAAAGTGTCTGTAAAACACCAAAAAGAGGCTTTAGCCTCTCACACTGCATGAAGGCATGAAACACAGTCTCTCTCAATGAACAAAAAGGGCACCCTTGACCCTCAACAGGATTAAACACAGAAACAAAAGCATTAACTGCAATTGCTCCATGCAGAATTCTCCATTGTAAATCCCCAGTTTTTTTGATTAACGGTGACTTGTGTGTGTGTGTGTGTGTGTGAGAGAGTGAGTGAGTGATTGGTGATATTAAAACAGTGCCTTGCCAAATAACTCCGCGTTGCAGCAAATGCTTTGCCAGGTTAAACTTTTTTGCTGGATGACCCTGGGTTGGCGCCTCTGCTGTGTCGCCAGACATTCAAATGAATGAGAGTAATGTATTTTTTTCGGCAGGGCTGAAGGGAGTCTGAACGTGGCCTTATTTGTAATTACTTGGACGAGTACCGACTCACTCCGTGTGTTAGTAGTAGACCATTAAATATTTTCATCGTTTAGATACACCGTACTTCCTCATTAGTGAAAAACAGTGTGCTCATGTGTCAGATTGTGGGAGCAATTAGAAACAAAAACAGAATGAATGTTTCAGACCTTGCAAGTTATACTTCTTGGCGATGGGCAGGGACAGCAGGCGGACATGGCTGAGTGGGGATGACCAGTTGTAGCAGCCCAGGCCGACCAGACCTAGCTGCGGGGCACTTTGGGGGTAGGTGAAGGCCAGCACCACCACCAGCAGGAAGCACACTGCCACCACAAACTGCAGAGACAACATGGAAATTAACAACAAATCTAACTAACAACAGTAACTGAGAAAATCCACCAAATCCTCATATTTAAGGCCTTCAGAGATTTATCAATTATACCTTCTGTCGACTAGTTTTATCAGTGTAATAATGCTTTGGTAGGCCTGACCTTTATGGTGGCTCTCAGGATGGGGAACTGGGGAGGCTCTCTCCTGGGCTCGTTGGTCTCCAGGACCTGCTTGATGAACTCTCAATCTCCCTCTCTGACATGCCATAGCGGTAGCCCGACTGCCGGAGGATGTCGATGCTTTCGGACAGTTTGTCGTAGATGCACGGCTCACTCGTCGTTGTTCCCATGACAGCAGCAGTGACAGCGGCGTCTAGGTCAAACGTGTCGATCTCCAGCTGCTGCAGGCTCCAGGAGCATGGTGTCACCTGTGAAGTCATCCAAAATATTAACTGCCACTTCATAACTTTAAATTAACTAAAACAACAAATATTGTACATCATATCCTGTAGCTGACAGCAGGTATTTAAACTCCAACGTAAGTAGGAACTTAGACTCCTGAGACATTCTTCTTTTTACTCTTCTGCCCACAAACTGAGCGGAACAAATAGTATGTTCTGCAAAGTTGTCAAGAAATACAGTCTGTGTTACTAGCCTAACAGGTCTCTGAAAACACCAGCTACGAGGGAATTTCTGGCAAAACCTGCTGCCATTTAATTTAGTGGTTGGGTTAAACACCAGAAACTGTTACTTCAGGCTCTGCTTGTAGTCTACTAACTGGTGAAACTTCCCTAACCATGGGCTGAACTGACTACAAGACACACTTTTTAACATGTTAAACACGGTCGAAATTTGTTCATGTCAGTGGACTTAGTAGAGGAGATAGTATACAGGGGACAATAACAAACCTCCAGGTGTCCATATAGAAAAAACGGAGCAAAGTGAACTAGTTTTGTCCTCGTCGTGCTTCGTTAAGTACTAAACATTAAATGCCATTAATCTACCTGCTGCAGACAGGAACAGAGTTTAAACCGTCAGACACATAAATGTCACTACAGTCTCGACGCCATAACAGTGACGTGGCAGTATTTAACTTTCATATTAGCTCATTAACGCTTAACGCTAACTAATTTGATTTAACGTTAGCGAAGACAAAAACTTACTAACTTACCACCGCAGGAGCTGATCAACTGACAGCAGGGACGTTACACTGACATGTTAGCTTGTGCTTGCTAGCCTTGGTTAACATTTTGTTTACGTCGCTTTAAAGAAAACCACAAAAACAGAATTAACTTACCTTATAGTGAGATCCACCGCCGTAGTGGGGAGTCTCTTCTTTCTCACTTTACGATAAATAAAAATAAATCTATTTATCTTTTTTTAAAACAACTTGCAAGCTACTTAGCATGGCTGCCACAGTCCGGATACATTCTTCATCTGACAGTGTACAAGTTGGTACGTTACCGCCACCAACTGGTATGGAGTGTATATAACATGCTGGTCAGGAAATTATTAATGAGAAAATATATGGGAAAATGAGCGGGTATGAAATATATTGACTAGAAACAATGGACGTAATTATCTGTAAGCAATATAAACTGTGAGGAGTTCACTGATGTGGACAGTGTTTAAAAGGAAGAGTAAGGAACGTAAAATATTAACTCCCGGTTGTAACCAATCAGAGGTCAGCGAAAGGCCTTGGCTCCGCCTCTAACAATACCAAAATAACGCATGTTAACCAATGAGAGCGCAGCCTGCCCAAGAGAAGTCCCGCCCCCAATTTCCGCTTCTTGTGCAACTCTGGTGCAACCGTGAAAAGCGCCTGCGGAAAGTCACAGGATCAAGCTTTAGAGGACGGAGCTGCTTCGTAATATTAGATGTTGTAAACATGTAATGTGTTTAAAGTAATAGCAAACATTCATTGTGTTTGCCTATTTTTTTAATAAACACATTTGTATTGTTTATTTATAGTGGAAAAAAAACCTCAACGCTCATCATTTTAAAAGAATATTTTATTTTGAAAGTCATCATCGGAAGTGTTTGTTGTTGACACTGGTCGATTCTTTTGTAAGTGACAGGCGGCAACGTTTCTCAAACCAAACTTCGATCACATTTAGAATTTATTCTTAAATCGTGAATCATCTTCTTACTTTTCCTCCACTGAACCCAGCAGGTGGAACTGCTTCAACCCAGTTTACACCGGTCTTTTGGTTATCGGTCCGCGTGTTGTTATTGGAGGTCAGTGGATCCAGGTGAAACCAGCACACCGTCCAGATGCTTTCCCCGGGCAGGACCGTCTCCTCCCGGCTGTTCAGGCCGGTCTCGTGGATCCCACTCCGGCTAGCCTGTGACCAGAGAGCCGTCAGCACTCTGCAGAAAGGTAACAGCAGTCCGGAGCGGACCCGGTTCTTTAGCCTGGGGAAGCTAACACTAAGCTAGCTAATCCCAAAGTGACGCAGTTTAGTGTGGAGACGGGACACTGCACAACACCTATAAACTGAGTTATGAAAAGTTAAATAATGACCTGTGTGATTCGTCTGTAAGATTAGAAGAATACATTAATACTATAAAATCACTAATCAACAATAAGTCTTCAGGAACTTTACTTGATTAAAATTTAATTGTAAACAAGTTTGATAACTAAACTAAAAAAAAAAATTATCAGGCAGAAGTTAGAACTATACAGCTCTGTATGTTTTTGTTATGATTTTATTGCATGATTTAAATTACATTTTAATTTTTAATCAGTTTATTTATTGTTTAAAAAGTGTTTGTGCTTTCTCTGAATATCTGAGCTATTTTTGGGTTTTGGACTGTTGGTCAGACAAAACATTTGAACATTGAAAAGACATTTGAACAGTATACTGTAGAAAGTTAGAAACTCTTCATACATAGTTGAAGAACATTCACACGTTTATTTTTAAGTAATATGTTATTTTTTGTTAAAATGTTTGTTATTGGTCCCATTAAATAAGATAGAAGCAAATAATGTTTAAAGATTTTACTGTCTCAGAGATATCAAGGTCATGGTAAAATGTAATGTCATTCTCTCCATAAAATAAAATTGAATATATTAAAAAAAGATAATATTGCACATGGCATACATACATTGGCTCTACAGACATGGTCGATGAATGACTCAGCAAGTACTGACCTGCCTGTCTCAGATATCTGAGCCAGTATTTAGTCCAGCATCACACAGATCTGCTTAAACTCTGAGTAAAACCAGCTTGACTGTCTGTTGTTTTGTGCTGCAGAGTTGATAAAGAAACAAGAACTGGACAAAGATGAGCCCCGCCCCCTCTACATGGACTTCCAGGCCACCACACCCATGGTAACCGTTCCTAACCATTGCTAAAATTTACTTATAGTTACTTGCACTTACAGTTTAACATGTGTATGTGTGTGTAGGACCCCAGGGTGCTGGATGCCATGTTGCCCTACCAGGTGAATTACTATGGTAACCCTCACTCCAGAACACACGCCTACGGCTGGGAGAGCGAGAGCGCCATGGAGAAGGCCAGGAAGGTAGAGAGACACTCACTTCTGTACAGAGAGAGAGAGAAAAAGTATATCTCAGCTTTGATATATCTTTTTTCTTTCATTATTGTGCCCTGTGTAGTAATGTATAAACCATTAGCATATATTTGTAAAACGTGCTGTGTTTTTAGTTGTCATCATTTCATTAAATCCGAATTTGAGAGACACTGACTGTGTGTGTCTCTGTCTTTATCTCTGAGTAGCAGGTGGCTGATCTGATTGGAGCAGATCCCAGAGAGATTATCTTCACCAGCGGAGCCACCGAGTCCAACAACATGGCCATCAAGGTAACGCTCTGCTCCTCCTCCTTTGTTACCTCCTCTTCATCACACATTCTCTCCCCCTCCCACTCTTACCACTACCTTGTTTTGGTTCACAGTGAGAACATAGGAAACATAGTGATGGTCTGGTCACAACCAGAAATGAATCTGCGCTGCTATCATTTCCCATCTCATAACTGTCTGCTAACCATTACTCTTTTGTGGAGTGGTTTATACTCTGATAGAGGATGGTAAATAAAACTGGATGGTGACACACAGCTACGATAGTTTCAAGGCTAGATTATTTCCCCCATTTTGGACTTTTCAGAAGCTTGCCGTTCCCTCAAAGGTCAACAACGTCAGGACAGTTTACTTTTGGTCATTGGGCTGATAATTATATGTCAAGGTTCACCCAAGTAGAAGTTGACATGAAAGGTTTGCCCAGATTCACTTTGTCTGTGTTAGCAAAGCCACTGGTTGCAGCAAATCCACTGGAATTAATCAATTTCACTGCAAAAGCTTTGCTGTTTTTAAAACAATGCTGCTTTAGTCCAGTTTGTGATGTCAGTGGTGACCCTGCCTCTTCCTCTCCTGCAGGGCGTGGCCAGGTTCTACCAGTCCAAGAAGCGGCATGTGATCACCACACAGACGGAACATAAATGTGTTCTGGACTCGTGTCGAATTCTGGAGGCTGAAGGATTCAACATCACCTACTTGCCAGTCCAGACGAACGGACTGGTGGACCTGGAGGTATGCGTGCAGATCACAGAGAGAGATCACACAAGAGAACGTACAGTCAACAAACAGATGTCATTGTATATATTAAAAACTGTGTGTGGACACTTGTGTTTTCAGCTGTTGGAGGCATCCATCCGCCCTGACACCTCTCTGTTGTCCGTGATGACCATCAACAACGAGATTGGAGTCAAGCAGCCCATCAGTGAGATTGGTAACCATGGCATTTTTTTTTAAACTCCCTGCGTTAGTCAGAATTCTGATTTCTGAAACATTCACGTACACAGTGTTTCATCCATGTTACAGTGATTCAGAATAAAGCTGTTCACCATGTTGACCACGTAGCACATACACCAGTTTCCTGATCTTCACTTTTTCACTGGGGGTCTCTGATCTGATTCAGTGTTCTTATCGAAAGGATTGATTAATTGACCTTTACACTTCCTGTCTACAGGTCAGATTTGTCGTTCTAAAGGAGTCTTCTTTCACACCGACGCCGCTCAGGCTGTCGGAAAGATTCCCATCAACGTCACGGACTGGAAGGTTGATCTGATGTCCATCAGTGGCCACAAGATCTACGGACCCAAAGGTTAGCCAGAGCATTACTGTAGATATACCCTTATTTGTTAGCCCATTAGGCAAGGCAAATACAAATACACATAAAACGGGAAAGGGCTAGCTGAAGAAAATGTGCACCCGCTTGCTGCTAACATTTTGTATTTGACATATATGAAATAGCTCAGGAGCTGAAACAATTAAAGTTGCAGTTGAAATACAAATACTGAAAGAAGCCGAAATAGCGGTTAAAGTGGAAGTGCTGAAAAAAGATGCACTAAAAGTTTAAGTGCGAGTAATGAAAGCATTGAATTATATGAAAAGTAAGACGTCAGCATCTGCAATGTGAGTTGATGTGTAATCACTGAAAGCAGTATAATTGTCAGTGGAAGAGTTAAAAATGAAAGCGTTTGCAATTCCAGTTAAACAAAAATCAGTCCAAGTGTCAGTTAACATGTCCCAGGTGAAAGCAGCTGAAGTGTCAGTGAAAGTGTAAGTTAATGAGACAGTTGAATCTCCTGTGAAGCTCAGGAGCTGAAACCTACTATGATGCCGTCACCCACCATAGGTTTGAACACAGTAATGTTTGCTCTCAAGATGAAGGCACAGATCAACTTTTTGATGTTGATTAACCTGTTGGCACCTTCACTAGATGATACAAGGCTAAAGCTGTGCTATCACTGCTGACATTTCTTAGAGAACACCTAGAATTCTGACCTGACACAGATATACAGATGTAGAGTTAAGGTGTGGCGCATCAAGTCATTGCTTTCAGACAGAGTGAGTCAATAAGACATATGGTGAAATATTAATGTAGATTTGAGTACCTTCAAAATAAATCTGTTAAGTTATGTTATTTTAAATAATCTGGTCTGTGTGTGTACAGGTGTTGGTGCTTTGTACGTGCGCCGCCGACCCCGGGTGCGAATGGAGCCGCTGCAGAGCGGGGGCGGGCAGGAGAGGGGCCTGCGTTCTGGCACCGTCCCCACCCCGCTGGCTGTTGGGCTGGGAGCCGCCTGCAACATCGCCCAGCAAGAGATGGAGGTAAAACAAATGCACCCAAACATCCCAGGTCTCAACAAACATAACCCAACAACCTGGGACTTAATATGTGTTTGTGTGCGCAGTATGATCATCAAAGAGTGTCCATGCTGGCTAATCGTCTGATCCAGAAAATCATGGCCGGGATTCCTGACGTCGTCATGAACGGAGATCCACAACAACGCTACCCTGGTACACACACACACACACACAGAAGTGAAACTCTACATACACGCCACTGTCACATGCTTGAATTTCCCCCAACATGAACTTGAAAACCAGTAAAAGTTAGAGGTTTCTGTTGGATGTGTTCTGTGATGTATTGACAACAAATTCTTCCTAGAGCAGATGAGGCAGATGTACTTAATCTGACTGTCTGTGCTTTTCAGGCTGTATCAACCTGTCCTTTGCGTATGTGGAGGGAGAGAGTCTGTTGATGGCGCTGAAGGATGTGCTCTGTCATCTGGAAGGTCAGACACAAATTCGTTTTAAAACATTTAAATAATATATAATGTTAAAAACAGGCCTAAAGCTTTACTAGGAGGAGGCTCCGGATGAGCCAATCTGTTGTATATGTAAATTTAAAGCTACCCTGTGGAGTTTTTTGACCATTCGTATCACTTCGGAGCAATGTTTTTGCATCCTCGTTCTGCTTCCTGTTCACTCCACTGACTGATAGTCGGAGGCGACAGTGCACAAACAAATGTAGCAATGAATGAATGAATGACAGTGAAAGAACTCAACCTCTAATGAAAATTAACAAGAAGTTTAACAAAAAGCAACAAAAAATCACACCACTGGGCGGCCTGGTTGCCTAGCAGCTAGTCTGCTTGGTAGCATTAGCCTGTTTTCAGGCATTTCAACAACCACGTGGCTGTGTGTGAGAACTGTTATCTTCTCACTCACGACTGGAGAGGAACATCCATTGAACCAAAAAGTTGATAAATAGCTTTCAATCAGTTGCAGAGAAAATGTTTTATAAAACGTAAAAAAGATTTACTTACATGATGATGATGAATGAATATTTGTGTTTGTGCATGCAGCGCATGTACGTCAGCATCTCTGGAGCCATCATACGTCCTCCGAGCGATCGGAGCAGATGAAGACTTGGCTCACTCTTCCATCAGGTACAAACACTTCCATCCTCTCGGTAGTTCAGATAATAATTAAAATGTTAATTATAATCAACGTTGACTTTGTAATTTTAATTAATAACATTTCTCCAGGAGCATATTATGAATCTAATGAATTATTTTAGCTGGTACACTGCTGTATGCAGGATGATTAATTCAAAGTGTTTTTACACAAAACTGAATTTATGACATTCAACTCAGCAGACTGAAACATCTGTTAACATCAGCAGCTGGAGATGAATCTCTGCAGCGTCTCTGGTTTGACTTGAATTGTAGTTGAATCAGATGTAGGCTAATGTAAACCTGTGTTTGTGTGTATTAGGTTTGGTATTGGCAGGTTCACCACAGTAGATGAGGTGGACTACACCGCAGAGAAATGTATCCAGCAGGTCTCCAGACTCAGAGAGATGAGGTGAGTTCACCTGGAATGATAATTTAGGTAGTTTTGTCGATAATTTCTATCGGTAATAATAACGCTGTACTCACCAAGGTAATATCTGAGGTTCGGGAACACGGTGTAAGAAGAAGTCGGCTGGGTCAAGAAAAGGGGCAGTCAGGTGATTGTTGGTTGGAAAGTAACCTAACGTCTGTCCTTTACGTTGCCACTTCAAGCTTCACGTTTGACCTACTGTACTTACTGTAGTAGTGAATTTTTCTGTGCAATGAGGGATTTTTACTGGCATTTCAAGAGCACTCACTTTCAATTTGACCTTTAAATAAAGAGGTTTAGATAATCTGACTTCTGTTTAGAGATGTTCCGAGACCTCAGATATGAACTTGGTAGGTAAAATGTCATAATTGAAAATGAAACTTAATTTGTAATAAACTGGGATTATACTCACTTAATTAATCCATACATAGATTTCTCTCTCCTTGCCCTCTCAGTCTATCAAGTTTATTTCTTTGCATTAATGGGTGATGTGAATATTATCTGTAATGTGTACTAAATGGTAATAAGCGACACCAAATAACCTCTCTCTTTCTCTCTTTCTCAGTCCTCTGTGGGAGATGGTTCAGGAAGGCATCGATCTAAAGAGCATCAAGTGGTCGCAGCACTAAACTCTTCCCACTTCCTGTTTTGTTTCCTAGCTGACAGTGATGATAGTGATGATTCCCAAGGAGTTCTGGGAATAGACCAGCTTTTCCTTCTTGTACACAAACACGCACAAACTTCCTGTCTGACTTGAAGTCTGTTTGTATCTGTAGCTCTGTGTCTCTGTAGATGCTCCTCTCATTGCTCAGTCAGGAGATGTTTCTCAGAGAGTTGACCAACACGCGGCAACCTCACTGAAAAGTTTTTAGAGACTGTCACCTGAGTCCTGTATCACATTATAGTCAGTTTGTCTTTGTCTGGCTCTCTTTGGGCTCTTCGGGCTTTACTGAGTCTAACATCAGTGATCTTGATGATCATGAAGGTGGTTAGCAACTGCTGTTGACTCTGGGTTTACTAATTCAGCTCTGAGCGTGTTCACATGGAAGAGAAGTTCTTAATTACAGGAATTACAGTTACAGGAATGATGAGTCAATGTTTACAGAGAATTGATTGGTCAGTACTGGACAGTTGACAGGTCTGATCTGATTTTCTGAAGTGAACTTGCTCTAGAGCAGGTTAGCCCAGCAGCATAGGTTACTAGGGAGTTGAACACAAAGAAAGCTGGCTAAACTGCTAATTTTACTTTGTGATACTGGCTCCAGGATCAATGGGCAGTGTTGGCTTCAGGGAGGCTAGAGAATGGCAGCAAACCTACGTGACACTAATCAATCAGTGTTGGCTTCAGGGAGGCTAGAGAATGGCAGCAAACCTACGTTCACTAATCTCTCTGAGTCAAAACATTTCACTTGATGATTCACATATTGTCTCCTGCTCTGTTCACAGGTGATACTTTGTCTCAGAACTCAGTCTTGCAGTTTTTCCTTTTTTAATTCCAACATCAGTGTTAGCAGCAGTTTCCGAGAACATCCAGTCAAACACAGTGTAAGCAGCCAAACTTTGATTATTTTGTTAAAGTCTGGAATGCTCTACAAGACTGTAGCCTTGATTTGACCACAACGGCTGATTTTCAAGATGGTGGAGAGTTTAAAAAACGTCTCAGGTCCAGTCTCTCACATACTGACTGAGACTCACAGTGTCACTTTTCCACCACATAGATGCATCTGAGGTTGTTTGACGGGAATCTGAAGGTGATCCTGAAAGTCTGAACACAAAACACAAAAATCTGATAAATTCAGTTGATAAATATGGGTCTCTGTCCTCACTGGCTAAGAGGACTTTTAAAGTCTTGTATTGTGTTTCTGGATGTTGTCAGCTGAGCCATATTTATTACACTTCAGCATCTACTTTCTTCTACCGTTTTCTACCGTTACTCCCATCATATACATTATTATCCAATAAAGTGCTGCTTCATGGTTATGCAATGAACATTTGTTTTGTTTGTTTGTTTTTTATTGGGATAATATTTCATGGACAAATGCTGTATACCGCAGTATTTACAGCCCAAGTTAGTTTGCAATGCCTGTTCATAGTCGGGCCTGTATGCGAGTGCACACAACTCAACAAACAGAACAATACAAAACACCGAGTCATGACACTAAAAATGCTATAAAAACTATATGTCTTATTAATTAATTAAATTACTGTGTATAACTGAAAGTTAAAAAATATAACTTTATTACTACCGTCCATTAAACATCAGAAGCAAATGTACATAAAAAGCATTTTTTTTACCCAATTACCTCCCCATTTTTTAATTTAAACTATTTTTTCTTGCATACTATACAGAACACAAGTATATAACTAATATTAGTATAGTAAGTATATACAGTTTCAGTTTATTTTCAGGCCTGTTGGAAAATTTAGAAATTCACTCCACTTTTAGACTATAGTTTAATTATAATTTAAGCTACAGTAAGATATATTTTATGTACATTACTATACTGTATTACTGTGTAGTTGAATTATTTAGAGTATAGTACTTTAATTTATACAGTAATTTGTGTTTGAAACAGCTGTACTGTATTTAACAGTCAATAAAATTCAGTAAATAGTGATGCTTATTGTTCAATTGTCAGATAGAAGGTAATCTGCATGAGAAATAAATAAAACATCCGTTTATAGAGATCAGTTTCACCCGTCAGACCTCAGTATAAGAGGTTTCCACTATATATTATACTGTAATACTAATATGTTTTTGTACCCATCATTACTATTATTTTTACCCTTGTATAAAGTACTTTTTAAGCACTAGGGCCCCTAGTCAAAAATTAGGTGTGGGCCCCTTTTGACACTCCCCTCGCATCTAAGTATCCTCTCACCATCAGGTAAATAAATGAATGCATATGTCCTGTAATAATACAGGATCATTGTCATTTCCACGGTAACACGTGCCCCTGAGCAAGACACTTAACCCGTAGTTGCTCCAGAGGCGTGCAACCTCTGACATATATAGCAATTTTAAGTTGCCTTGGATAAAAAGCGTCAGCTAAATGACTAATTAAAAAATAATAACAAATTAATAATTTCACTTGATGTTGTAATTGTGATGCATATTCACATTTAAATGTGCCATTAACCATAACAAGATGAACAAACACAGTAAACCTGGGGTTTTTAAGGCCCCTGAGGGTCTAGGGCAACAGGATAGTTGTCACTGTGCACTGTTGGTAATCAATCATGCTATGTTTTGGTAAAACCTTGATCTGTAACATAATTACATCTGTCATACACTACATAGTCAAAAGCATGTGGGCATCTAAACATTGCAGCCATGTGTGATAGTTGAACATGAGCATTCATCTGGTGCTATAACAGCCTCTGAGAAGACTTTGCACAAGATGTTGGAGTCTGGCTGCAAGGAGTTACTACCTTTCAGCTAGTGAGGTCCAACACTAATGTTGGAAGATAAGATCTGGCTCAAAGTTCCTGTTCATCTGAAAGATGCTGGATGGGACGGGGTTGAAGTCAGCGCTCAGTGTACATGATGTCCACATATAGACATATAGCAAAATTGCATTTAGTCTAAATGTTGTGAGGGGAAATTTGCTCTCCCATCAAGTTTAATTAAAATAATCCTTTATTAAATAATCAAAATCAGGCCATTATAATTTCAAGTTGGCAACAGATACACACAGGACTAAGGCAAACATCTAAAAGGTCCTAATCCGAGATCAATAAAAGTATGATTTTGAATACATCCAAAGTTTGTTTAGTTTTTATACATTTCATCCGGTTTCATGAGCCCTGTGCAGCCGGTAGAGGGCACTATCGCTCTGACGTCGGGGAAACGCTGGCCGTAGTCTCGCGTCATCACGTCTGGTATCGCGGTGTTTCCGCCGACATTTCGCGCAGTTGCAACCCGCAGAGAGAAGAGGAGAGTCGTAAAGAGCTTCGTTCATGAGTTAAACCTCAGTGTGTTTGTTGACAAATTTCTCGGTAAGAATCCAGCAGCGGCAGCTCGCTCAGTGGCACACTCGCACTGGGAGCCGAGCACGAGAGGAGCCGCTAAAAGAGCGCATCCTGCTCGTTGTTCTGCTCCGACACACACACACAAAGCAAGGTTCACAACCAGCTAAGCTAGATGGCTAATGGAGCGTTAGCCTGCTCATGTAGATATGCTAAACTAACAACGTCCAGGGTTTCTGCTCGAAGTTAACATAGCTAGTAAGTTACGTTATGGTTGTTAGGACCTCGTTTTAGACGCTGCATGTCGTTATTTGTTAATTACAATGGCTGCTTGTGTTAAACATTCAGGCAGGTTTGTTTAAAATGGTGTCTTGTACGTAGCTGCTAGCTACCATTAGCTAGCTAACAGACACGTTTAAATGTTACCGTTGTATTTTTCATTACGGGTCTGCTCATGTTGTAGTTTCTTCACTATATGAACGGATGAGATGAGAAGAGGATGTGTGTGACTTAGAGCTCTGAACTGTTTTGGCCTAATATAGCCTAGTTTCTGCCGATGGCACTGCGGTTGATGCTCACTGAAGACTAAAACCACGCCGTGACGTCACACATCCGCCGCAAAATGTTGATGTTGATACGAGCAGGTATAAAGTTGGTGACAGTCTATGGTTTCAGAGAATCAACAGATTCACTGACTTGAGCCCTTTTCAGACATGAAAAATGCAAAAGTAATGGCTGTTTGTCTTTCAAACATATGTCTCTGTTGTGAAAATGTTTGTAAGATTTCTGATTCAATGAGCCATTACAGATAAGATGCTCTTGAGCGCGATCGGTTGGAACATAACCAAACACAGGGATGGATTTTAAGAGATTTTGCAGTTGAATGCCTGTTTATTTGTCTTGTTTATGACTATTAGAGCCTGACTGATAAATGGCAAGGCTGATCTATCTGCACTAATGAGTTCCTGAGCATACAACCTCTGACATGTATAGAAATTGTAAGTCGCTTTAGATGACGTTAAGTGTCAGCTAAATGAGAAAATGTTAATGTATTAGCTCATTGCAGATATGTCAGTATTGGTATTTGTCAGCCGATAAATTGACATACAGTATTTCCACCAGAGTAGTGACAGGTTTATTCTTCAACTGTGAAATGTCCTGCCAAGTACATTTATTGGTTGCAATTGTAAAACAATGACTAAGGCAACCATATCAGCACATTTGTTTTTAATGTATGGGATGTGTAAGGACTATTAATATTGGGTAGAATTTAATTATTAGAATTTTCACTCTTGAATGTCAACAACTGTATAGCTATCAGAAATAATGTTTGGTAAATTGTAACATGACTTTCAAAATGTATTAGAACGTAAAATTCTGCAGCTTTTTTTAATTGACAGCTAAAAATGATAAGACGCAAGGTTTCTCATTTAATGTCTATTTGCCCACATACTGTATGTTAAGGGTTTTGCAGGATATTCACACTATAAGCAGTCTACATGAATCTGAAAATGTATAGAGACGATGGTTTGATGGTTGGCCTCAGTCCTGCCGTGATCGGAAAATTATTATTTTTTTCAGATTGAGCAGACATGAATCTCCTATAAAAACTTAAAATTGGCTCATCTTTCTTTCGTTTTTATCAGTTGATTTGTTGTGAGAGAAATTCTACAAGTCCAACCTCCCCAGATTGCCAGTGTGACTTTAACATAAAAATAAAAGGTTTATTCAAACAGGAGACTGATCTAATATTGCCTCAACGTTTTTTAACAAGATGCATATCTGAAATGGGCTATAGTAAGTCAGTATGGCAGTTGTTTCTGTTTTTTGTCTTGTGCAGGTCAGTGGAGTTCTGTACGATCATTCACTCCTGAAATAGATGAAGGGATAAGGTCTGGAAGACACTGCTATATTTAAAGGTTTATAAGGTGCAGCTTCAGGCCTTGTCACGCCAGATCCTGTCTGCTGAGATTTGGCTGATGTGTGGTAATTCCCTCGTCCTTGTTCCAAACTATATTCTCTTTGTGTTTGAGTTGTTTAGTCCCTGTGGCGAGATCCACTCCTCGCGTTCAATTCCACCTTTTTTTTGCTGTGTTTTGAGGTTGATGACAACATGTGGACGGTTATGTATCTGAGAAATCCTGGCAGTGTTTTGCTCTTTATTCCAAAATTTGCTGTATTGAAAATGTCTTTTTGGTTTTCTGTCTCTTATCAGCTCCATTTGGTTAATGTGAGTGCAAACTGCAGCTTCAGTTGAACCTTCTCACTTCACTCTGGATAATCTGGTTGTCTCTGAAATTATTAGCTGTTGTCGTGTCCTCTCCTGCTGTGTTTTATCCTCTTGCTGCTGTTGATATTTTACAGACTGTTAGCAGATTAACACCCAGAAGTTACAAGAAGAGTGGATGTCCAGGTTGAAAATCCTCTTGAAGAAGCATTAGGTGAACATCATATGTCAATATTGGTGTGATTTGTTGGTGCTGAGGTTCACCACTGAAATAGCTGATGATAATGTTGATGATGTCTGGCATCAGGTTGATGGCTGAGGTACCAGCCTCACACCCAGACCAGAATATTAGTAAGTTTTATATTTTCAAAATGTCTGAACTAGCAAATTTTATGAGCTGCAGTGTGACTGAAATGTCAGAGTTTAGTGGGATGTCCTACCAGAACCATAATGTATAGTTTGACAGTCATGGTTAAGATTTGTCAAGGTTAGAGCACAGAAACCTAAAGATGTGTCTGAGGATTAAGAGACATTTGTGAAGTAGAGGGTTGTGGAAACGGCGGTGTTACTCTACCTGCTCTAACAGTTGATATGTTTTATCAGTGTTAGCAAACATGTTGCTTTGCATCTTCCTTCTGTTTGCTTTCTCTTCTGATCAGCTGCTGTCTTTGGTGCTGTGCTGGCAATGAGTTGCTGATGGTGCTATGGTTGACATGATGCTAATGTTGCTGTGGTTGACATGCTGCTAATGTTGCTCTGGTTTACAAGTACCTGACATTGCTTTTGTTAAAATGTTGATGACGTTGCTCTTATTGCTCTGGTTGATAAGGTACAGCTGTTCCTCCTCCTAACATGATGATAATGTTTGGTTGACAATGTTTTGCAGATTTGCTGGTTGACATGTTGCTCGTGGGGTGGTGTTTTACGAACAGTTCATGAACTGGTTCCTGGTTTGGTGCTGCTTGAGGATTTAGGAAGCAGCAGTGTTGTTGCTGGCTGCTGGATGTGTCCTGGATTGTTGCTTGGTGTTTGCAGGGTGTTGCTGGCTAGTTGTAGTTCATCATGTCCTATCTTCAGTTTTCTTCTTTACCTGTTAATCTAGTGTAACACTGCCAGCTGAATCATGATGAATTTAGGTTTGTGTCTCTGCTGTCAGGTAGGAAATCTGCAGCAGTCTGATTTTGATTTTTTTTCCTGCTGCTAGTTTAAAAGTCTCTTGTGGCTATTAAGATTCTTGAGTTTCTGTGTTGTGTTGAGGTTAAAGACATCCTTTTAATAGTAAGGCTGAAGTCATATATCACACAATGCTTTAATATTCAACACATAAAGTCTGAATGAGAGACAGTTACTGACACTGATTAAGCACAAGCTGCCAACTACTGAAAACACCAACATACGTTGGTCACTGGAAGCTAAATTAAATGTCTGTTCTTTGAAATGTTGAATTTCATAACAATGTTTGAATAGGAATGATTGTTTTTCTGTCCTTTTCACCAGCTTTCAATGTCCTGCAGAAATCTTCTCTGCTGAACAGTGAAAATAATACATGCAGATTAGTTGCATTAGATTCATGAAGGTTTGCCGTGGCACAAATATTTAGACTCAGCCGAAACTATAACCAATATCTATGTACATAATGAACTTTATGACTCACCTGCCAAGGGGACTGGTAGATGAAAAAATCCAGCGGCTAAGTATATTTTTTTAACCAGCCAAAATAATAAATTGCCTTTTGTGTCACACATAACAATCATTTCAGTACATAATATACTTTACTTATAATAGCAGGAGGGGTCACAGGCCAGCGTCAGCCTGACTCCTCGGCTGTGACACAACTATTTTGGTAATAAATCTCGCCAAACAGAAAATCTATCCCCATTTGGCGCTTGCCGGGTGTTAATTTCACACCCTGTATGTACTACATGATAGAAGCAACCACATGGTACACAGTGTCTCAGTTATTTACAGCAGCTGATACACACAGCATCTTCTTTAAGATTTAAAGGGTAATTTTGGTATTTTTAAACCTGGGCCTTATTTTGACATATTTTGTCTAGCTAAAGGGCAATTCTCAATCTAATATCTTGCGAGAGGTGAACTGTTGCAAGAAGATGCCAGTAGGGTCAGAGTTAGAGGGAGGAGTTTGTTGTGTTGGACTAACGTTAGGAAATAGTCTTGCCAGCAGTTATCTACAAAACAAAGTCCTCTTCTGACTCCACCAGGCTCTTCATGCAACAACTCTCCTCTCACGAGATTTCAGAGTGAGAAATGTCCTTGAGCGAGACTTCTGTTTCTGGCTACTAAACAAAGGGTGTCCCCACTTGTAAGGACCCTTTTCATGATGTTGTCAGACACCTGCTATAACAGAAGGACCAATGAAACAATTTTTGTGGACATAATTTTGACTGGCGCATTTGCCCTGAAAGAATACATTGTAGCCACTGCAGCCGGTTCGCAGCTGCCAGCTGAAGCCATCTACTGCACACCTTTCAAAACCTTTTGTACCTACTAGTCATTTCCACCCCAAAATATGTGAAAAAAATGCCCATATTTAATTAAAAACACTTGTTATATGAAATAGAAACTGTGTGAGTTGTCAATCAGACTTCACTGGGAAGAGTGTTGTAAACTGGCTCTGGTGCGTGCTTGCTTCAGAAAAAGGATATTGGTATAGTTAAATAGCTAGCAAAAATCTTGCACAGACATAGCAAGGATATATATATGATTAAGGATATCACAGATAGTGTTTCATCTGCGCAAATACATTCTACTCTGTTTAAATTGCTCTGAATTTTCAATACCTAACATCAGAGACTGTTGAGGAGAAAATGTAACTTGTATCAGTGCAGCATCAGCTCGTTAGTCTGGAGAGCATTTTGTTCCTCTGTGAACTTTCTTTTTCATGTCCTCTTTCAGATTTGAGCTAACTTTGTGTGTGTATAATGTCTATAGACATCATTGCCACTCTTAATTCCCTGCCATATATTTTTTTACACTTGAAAAATTATGCTATGAGCTATGGTAATGCTTAACATTGCTCCTGCTTTGGGTCTAACAAAAACTCTGACTGTGCAGCATGATGTCATTATTTTCTATGATCTGAAACAAGGATATAAAAATTGAAAGCTGCAGATAGCTGGAGACAGTTATAGATGAGCTTCTTTGCCAGTTTCGTACTAATTTTGCAAATTATTCACCCTCATTCCCCAAACCCCTTCCAAACACCACTGGTTTCCAAATGTCAGGGCCCAAAAATGGGTGCACAAAGTTTAGAAAATGGTCCTGAGTTGTTTTGAAGAAACTGAAATGTAAACAGCGTTGGCTAAGCCTTTATTGGCCAGCAAAGTCAGAGCAGAGTTTTCTGAGGAAACATCTGGAAACCACTGGTCACCCTCTTTCTGGTCTTCATCTGACAGTAGTGTTGCTTTCTCCCCAGGTGGTAGGGCTGTTGTTTAGCAGTCAGTATGGCGGTAGTCATCAGGCTGCAGGGCCTGCCCATAGTGGCCGGCACCATGGACATCAGACACTTCTTCTCTGGCCTCACCATCCCTGACGGGGGAGTGCACATCGTAGGGGGTGAGCATGGCGAGGCCTTCATCGTCTTTGCCACTGATGAGGACGCTCGGCTGGGGATGATGCGTACAGGTGGGTCCATTAAGGGCTCCAAAGTGTCACTGTTGCTTAGCAGCAAGACAGAAATGCAGAACATGATTGAACTCAGTCGTCGCAGGTTTGAGGCTGGGGCAGGTGCTGTGGAAACGGCTGCACCAACAGCAGGAAATGCCAACCGACAAGCAGGCACTGCCACAGTGCAACCAGGGACAGGGGGAAGAAGTGGCAGCCATGGAAACCAGGGTTTCAGTAACACGTCAGCCTCAGTGACTGCAGCAAGTTCATCTCAGGCACCACCAAGTAACAAGGCAGTGGCCAGCGCAGTGCCCAGCTTCCCCAACAGCTACAGCTCCACCCCTACAATCACCACAGCGCTGGCATCGCTCAATGCAGGCCCCCCACCCATCCCTCCACTTCCCAGCATGCCCTCCATGCCCCCCATGCCCAATCTGCCCACCATCCCAGTTCCTCCTCCGGTGTCCTCCCTTCCCCCTGTCCCTACTGTCTCCCCCCTGTCCCAAGGACCTCCAGTGCCTCCTATGTCCCATCTTCCCCACATGTCTTCCATGCCTCCGTTCAACCCCTCCCTACCTCCCCCAGGAGGACTAGGCTCTGGCCTCCCTCTTGGAACTCACAACCCCATGCTGTTCAACCCTCTCTCCCCCCTGGCTTCTCTTGGCCTCCAGGCCCATATGAAGGCTGCTGCTGCTGCAGCTGCTGGAGCAGGAGTGGCCAGTCCTGATGAGTTGTTTGTCGTCTTGCAGAACCTCCCATTCTCCTGTTCAGAGATGGAGGTCAGGGGTTTTTTCCGGGGTCTGGGGGTGGATGGGGTTCACCTGCTGAGAGATGGTCAGGGTCGCCCAACTGGCAGGGCTATGGTCAAGTTTTTCTCGCCCCAGGACAGCTTTGAAGCTGTGAAGCGAGGAGGTGGCATGATGGGCCAAAGGTTTATCGAGATTACCCCGGGCTCTGAGCGGCAATGGGCAAGCCTCAATGACAGTGCAACAGGCCATGCTCCTCACAATAGCAGCAAATTAAATAACAGCAACGAGTCACAGGACCAACAGCACCGCCGTGGTAATCCTGGATCAGTGCCTGGAGGCAGGGATCAGCGAGGAAGGTCAAGATCTCCCCACCGGCAGGAATTCTGTGTCTACCTGAAGGGCCTTCCCTACGAAGCTGACAAGAAACAGATAAAGGACTTCTTTAACAATTTGTCCATTATGGAGGAAAGCATCTACATTGCCTATGGGCCCAATGGACGAGCCACCGGAGAGGGCTTCCTTGAGTTCAAAACAGAACAGGATTACAAAACTGCTCTTAGTGCTCACATGCAGTACATGGGCACCCGCTTCATCCAGGTCCACCCAATCAGCCGGAAGGGAATGCTCGAGAAGATTGACAGCATCCGCAAACGTGAAGCAGCACAGGGTGATGGCAAGAACCAGGATGGCTTAAAAGCTCCCAGGAACTGTGCCCACATCACCAACATCCCATACAATGTCTCCAAGAAGGATGTTCGTGCCTTCCTGGAGGGTGTGGGGCTTTACGAGGACACTCTGAAGGTTCTGACAGATAGCCATGGCAACGGTTTAGGGCAAGCTATCTTCCAGCTACGGACTGAGGAAGATGCCCGCAAAGCTGAAAGACTGCACCGCCAAAAACTCAATGGCCGCGATGCCTTTGTCCACCTGGTGACCTTTGACCAGATGAAGGAAATTGAGAGGAATCCTCCTCCCCAGAACAAGAGGGGGCAACGGAACCAAACCCAGCTGAACCAAAATCAGAACCAACATCAGCAAGCCCAGCCCAGTCCACAACAACCCCAGATCAACCCATTTGCTGGGATGAGTGGGGAGGAGTTTAACTTTCTCAGAAACACCATGGGGAACCTCAACAGTGCCCCCTTTGTGACTCCATTCTCAGCCCCAGGGAATGGGCTGGCAGGCCCTCCTCCCCTCCCTCCTCTGGCAGCAGGGCTGGGGGACGTGAATCTGGGCATGGCTCCTCCACTTGTTGCCGGTCTTCCTGGTCCTCCAATCCTGGAGCCACCAGGCTTTCGATCTGGAGCTGCAGGAGGAGCTCCATTCAGCCAGGATGGGCTGAGAGGGTTGGTGCCCTTCGACAATGGTAACAGAAAAGGCGGTGGAGGAGGACAGAACCGAGGGGGAGGGGCTAACAACAACCAAGGACGTCCAGGGGGCGGGGCTACTGGTGGACAGCAGGTGTTCACTCCAGGAGCTGATGGTCTACGTAACCAGCCGGCCCCTGGAGGATCTAACAATCCCAACAATCAACGCGGTGCTGCTGGCCCAACAATTGTAAAGCTTCAGAACATGCCGTTCACTGTAACCGTGGACGAGATCATGGACTTCTTTTACGGCTACCAGGTGCTGCAAGGCTCAGTCTGCCTGCAATTCAGTGAGAAAGGCCTGCCAACTGGCGAGGCCATGGTGGCCTTCCAGAACCACGAGGAGGCAACTGCCGCCGTTATGGACCTTAATGACCGACCTATTGGAGCTCGCAAGGTCAAGATAAGCCTGGGTTAGAACCCCGCATCAAACATACTGACTGTAGATAAAAGATGTTAAACCTACCTGGATCAAACATCTAGGTGAAACAAAGTCAACATAAACCATACCTAATTCTGGACTCAAACTGTTAGCATCTCAGTTTAGACTTTTTCTGATCGCTGACTGTCTGTCAATTACTGAAGCCCCTCCCCCTGTCTATATATATGGCAGGTAAACCCTGCAGTCTGTCCAGTAGGACTCAGATCCAGACTTTGCTCTTTTCTGCAGCTCCTCCACTGACTCTGATAGCACAGTGATGATGATGACTATAATGATATTGTTGATATTGGCAGGATTTTGGATTTACTCCGTTTCCAATGCAGCTTTTTGTCAAGTCATGTCAAGAGTTGACACACTGACAATACTTACCTGTTTTGTTGCGATGGTAACATGATGATTATGATGAGGCTGACAAACATTGCTGCTGTATGCGCTTACATGTGTTGTGCTGCTGTGGTTTAAAATGTACATGCTCTGTTGATACGATGATATCTTAACATGCTCTGTTTATATGGTAAAACCTTTTGCTATGGTAAAACATGCTGTAGATGAAAAGCTTTTCTACAACAGTGAAATTTATGATAAAAAGCTATGTTGCCATGATCAAATGTGTATGCTTTGTTGCTATGGTGAAATGTTGAAATGCTCTGTTGCTATGTAGATGATGTGGGATGGACAGATTGCTGATTCGTGTTTTATTTTGTAAATAATGACTTTTGGCCGGTGAATCCTGTTCCTCTGTCACATTTTTCTGATGTTGCTGTGTTTGAACAATGCCACCCCCAACCTCTCCCTTTCTGCAGCATATGCTCCATTGGTATTTGGACTGTAGAGACTGAGATGAAGTCTAGCGTATTTTAGTTTGGTAGTTTTTTGTGTATGTTTGATAATGTTTTGGATGTTTTCACCGTAAAGCTAACTTTTCTTTCTATTGTCCGTGTGGAAAAAAAACTTGCATGATCGTATAACCATACATGATGTGGAGTCTCCTTTGCTTTGGTTAATAAAAGGACGTCCGTGATGCACACCTGCTCACCTGCAGTCAGCTCTCTCTTAATGTCTGCTCTTCACTGTAGGATGATGGAAACTTATCTGATTAATGGGTTCATTTGAGTTACTGAGTCACATGTTTCTTTATTTTATACAACTTGAATGGAAGACTGGATTGGTTTTGTTTGGATACAGGTGACTGTTATGTCAATATCTTCAATGCAATATAAGGTCCTTAAAATTCAACGTTGACCCAGTAAATGGCTCCAGGTTGGGCCTCAAGTAATCACTGTTTTTATATTTGAGACACACATTATCAAAATTAAATCAAGATGAAACTACCACCTCTGCTAAAAGTTGGGCCAAACATTAGGCCAAACTTTTCTTTATTTTTGACTGAACATTGGTTGATATCTGTTCTGTAGAATCACAAATCTCGATCAAGGCTTTTTTGCATTTCCGTAATGACTTTAAACCAAACTATTAGATTTCTGTTGGGTTCAGTCTGTGAATCCTGGCATGCTATACAATATTGTCTCAGGATTAAACAGTTAAATACTGATGCTAACAGCTAGGCTAGTGCAGAGGCTAACAGCTAAGCTAAATAATGAAGCTAATGGCTGACAGGCCATCATGGAGTCAAGCTAGCACATTTTCATTGAGTTTATTTGGCATGATTTACTGTTTTGTGTCAAAGCAGGCTCCAGGTGGTTCATGCTACAGCTGAATGCTGCTGGGGTTGCTAATAGGTTTTTTGCATTAATAGTAGTAATTTGTGACTACTTTTGAATTCTCTGTTATGTTATAAAATGTGGATCAGACAGAATATGGTAAAAAGTTGTTCACTGGGACCTTTAGGAGGCTCATTGATTGAATTGATCATCTAATTTTTACATGAAGTGCTCTCATCCATAAATAAGGCTCGTATTAAGGTTTTTAATTCATCTAAGGATTTAATGATCAGGTTTATGTAAACATAGTTTAAAAGTCATTATTTATCCTATTTAAGTTTTAAACTATGCATAACAGACTTGCAAATAACTCACAAAAAGTATCATACAGAACTATTAAGTTTTGTTTTCAACATAAATGGCCTAAATCTTATTAATCACCAAAGCTGCTCTCAGCTTCTGGCCATCATGCTGCAGATTTAAAATAAAGCCTCACAGTTGTTTCTGTTCACTCCACACACATGCAGTTTCTTCTATAATTGTTGTGGTTGGCCTACTGAACTTAACTAAAAGAAAGCATGGACGGAATTGGTTTTGTCTGAAGAGGAATCTTCTGCTTTCAGTAAATGGTTAACCTTTAAACAGGAACATTAATAATGTTCAACTGGTTGTGCATGCAGTTTTGATGTGTGCGTGAAAGAAATGGATAAACAGGTCTTAATAAAGTGGAGTGAAACACTGTCGAGACAAATGGTTGTTAAAGATGATTTTGTTTGTGTTGTGGACCTGGTGTTTGGAGAAAAGGAAAATCCTTTGGAATAAAAGAACAATTCTGGACAGACTTGACTTCTGCAAAGGATGAGAGTCTGAACAGTGTGTCTGTCTGTGTGTGGGACGGAGGTAAATTTTATCTGACTGACACTGAGCTGTCAATCATTCACCTGCTGAGATTTCCCCCTCCGACTGATCGATAGACAGACAGAAGGCAGGACTTTCAGGTGAGTGACAGATACAAAGATGCTTCATTCAAAACACGAGAAAGATAGTGTATCAACAGTGGCCCGTAAACATTCAGTTGTAACCTGTAAACTGATCATCAGCAAATAAATATTCACCTTGAATGGCCATAGAGGATTAACCTTACTTACAATGTTAAGTAAAAAAAAAAAAAAAAAAAAAAAGGGAAGATAGTCTCTAAATGGAAATTGGTGCATGTTAAACTGTAGGTACAAGGTAGTCCATAGATAGAGTAGTATTGGGCTATAGATGGAGCATTTAGAATATAGGTGGTAGTCTGTTGTGGACTTCAGATGGTTTAAATAATAGATAGCTTATACATGACAGTGATAGATGACAGGTGGCGGCCTGTAGGTGGTAACCTATACATGACAGTAGCATATGGTAGATGGTGGCCTGTAGACGGTAGCCTATATAAGACAGTGTAAGGTTGTAGATGGTGGCCTGTAGACGGTAGCCTATCCACAACAGTGTTAGGTTGTAGACGGTGGCCTATCCACAACAGTGTTAGGTTGTAGACGGTGGCCTATCCACAACAGTGTTAGGTTGTAGATGGTGGCCTGTACACAACAGTGTTAGGTTGTAGATGGTGGCCTGTACACAACAGTGTTAGGTTGTAGATGGTGGCCTGTAGATGGTAGCCAATATAAGACAGTGTTAGGTTGTAGATGGTGGCCTGTACACAACAGTGTTAGGTTGTAGATGGTGGCCTGTAGATGGTAGCCTATACATGACAGTGTTAGGTTGTAGATGGTGGCCTGTACACAACAGTGTTAGGTTGTAGATGGTGGCCTGTAGATGGTAGCCAATATAAGACAGTGTTAGGTTGTAGATGGTGGCCTATACACAACAGTGTTAGGTTGTAGATGGTGGCCTGTAGATGGTAGCCAATATAAGACAGTGTTAGGTTGTTGATGGTGGCCTATACACAACAGTGTTAGGTTGTTGATGGTGGCCTGTAGATGGTAGCCAATATAAGACAGTGTTAGGTTGTTGATGGTGGCCTATACACGACAGTGTTAGGTTGTAGATGGTGGCCTGTAGATGGTAGCCAATATAAGACAGTGTTAGGTTGTAGATGGTGGCCTATACACAACAGTGTTAGGTTGTAGATGATGGCCTGTAGATGGTAGCCAATATAAGACAGTGTTAGGTTGTTGATGGTGGCCTATACACGACAGTGTTAGGTTGTTGATGGTGGCCTATACACGACAGTGTTAGGTTGTTGATGGTGGCCTATACACAACAGTGTTAGGTTGTTGATGGTGGCCTGTAGATGGTAGCCAATATAAGACAGTGTTAGGTTGTTGATGGTGGCCTATACACGACAGTGTTAGGTTGTAGATGGTGGCCTATACACAACAGTGTTAGGTTGTTGATGGTGGCCTGTAGATGGTAGCCAATATAAGACAGTGTTAGGTTGTAGATGGTGGCCTGTAGATGGTAGCCAATATAAGACAGTGTTAGGTTGTTGATGGTGGCCTGTAGATGGTAGCCAATATAAGACAGTGTTAGGTTGTAGATGGTGGCCTGTAGATGGTAGCCAATATAAGACATGGTTAGGTTGTTGATGGTGGCCTGTAGATGGTAGCCAATATAAGACAGTGTTAGGTTGTTGATGGTGGCCTATACACGACAGTGTTAGGTTGTTGATGGTGGCCTGTAGATGGTAGCCAATATAAGACATTGTTAGGTTGTTGATGGTGGCCTGTAGATGGTAGCCAATATAAGACAGTGTTAGGTTGTTGATGGTGGCCTATACACAACAGTGTTAGGTTGTAGATGGTGGCCTATACACAACAGTGTTAGGTTGTTGATGGTGGCCTATACACGACAGTGTTAGGTTGTTGATGGTGGCCTGTAGATGGTAGCCAATATAAGACAGTGTTAGGTTGTGTCCTACAGATTGTAGCCTATAGGTTGTAGATGGTAGCCTATACATGACAGTGTTAGGTTGTTGATGGTGGCCTATACACGACAGTGTTAGGTTGTAGATGGTGGCCTATACACAACAGTGTTAGGTTGTTGATGGTGGCCTGTAGATGGTAGCCAATATAAGACAGTGTTAGGTTGTGGCCTACAGATTGTAGCCTATAGGTTGTAGATGGTAGCCTATACATGACAGTGTTAGGTTGTTGATGGTGGCCTATACACGACAGTGTTAGGTTGTAGATGGTGGCCTGTAGATGGTAGCCAATATAAGACAGTGTTAGGTTGTAGAAGGTGGCCTATACACAACAGTGTTAGGTTGTTGATGGTGGCCTGTAGATGGTAGCCAATATAAGACAGTGTTAGGTTGTAGATTGTAGCCTGTAGATGGTAGCCTATACATGACAGTGTTAGATGTTGGCCTGTACATGGTTGCGTTCAGATACATAATATTATAGAGGTATATGGTGTAGAACTGCTCTGTATGAAAAGTGCCTTGAGATAACCTCTGGCACTAAATCACATTTGAATAATAGATGGTAGATGGTGCCTGTACACGGCAGTGTTTAGATAGTAGGTCGTGGCCTGTAGATGTGTTTGAATATTTTTTATATGTTTTCACTATTTATTTCCAAGCAAATTTAAAGTAATAGAGTAGTAATAGAGAGAAAAGTAATAGATTTATAAAACTGTTGTCAGTTTTTTAAATTATTCTCATCATAGCTTTAGTGCAGGTCCTGGGATTCACAGTAGCTCAGTCCAGACCAGTAGTTTGGGGAATAACCCCAGTTTCATACTGCTGTGCCTACTTTTCAACTACACAATGACCTTCAGGATCACTAGAATTTAAAAGTTTTGTGTATGAGTATGAGTTGGTAAAATGGATAAAGTGAAGGGTTGAGTAGAACTTAAGAGTTTGTTAAATGATCTGAGCTGTTTTTCCAGGGAGGTGGATCATCAGAGGATGAGGATGATATGTCACCTGAGGCAGGAGCTCAGTGTGTGTGTGTGTGTGTGTGAGAGAGGGATTTTTAAGGGTATTAACAGAACATTATGGTTCTGTGCATTATGTACTTTCTTTCCTTCTTAGGACTGTATTTTTCTGTGTTTTGGTCTTTCCTTTTCTGTTTCTCATTTGTGATGTGACGCTCTGCTGCTTTTTCTGATTCCACTGTGGTTCTACTGCAAAGGATGAATAAAAATGAAAATCTATTGATCTTGCTGAGGAAGTTGGCTCATGCTGTGTTCAGTTTTTTTCTGCCCCTCCTCTGCACTTCTGTTTTCAATTATACTTCTGATCGCAGTACAGCTCATCACGCTCATGCTTTTTTGCTTCAGCAACAGTACTTCCGGCTGAGTGTCTGCCCTTCAACATAAAGGCACAGAAATGTAGGGCCTAGTTTTTAATCAGGCTTGAAGTGAGTGTGGAAATTC